TGACACTGAGCAATTCCTGGTCTCCGTCTCTGAAACAGAGATGCTGACACCTACATCCCACGAGCTTCTAGGAACCACTGACAAATTTCAGTCAAAAAACAAAGTTTGTTTATAAATTCCTTCCGTGGTACTGAAGACATTTTTTTAAAATTTAAATTTCTTCCATGGTACTACAGGCCTTCCATTGGGCTAGACAGGTACCCTATCACTGAGCTACATCCCTAGCCTCATTTGTTTGAAAAGTTACTCTGCCAACAAAGGGGGAGAATGAGGAGCATCTAAGCTTCATACCTGGGTAGCTATGTAGACTGCTGACTCTGAACAAGAATGTGAGAGGAACTGGGCCTGTGTAATCCATGTTCAGACTGCTAGGGACCCAGGGCAGTGATGAAGACCGGAAAAGCAATGCCGGAAGTAGAACCCACCAAAGTCCTCACACAGATATGAGGGCTCTCACTGCAATGCACCTGAAGTCAACTGACAAAAGCACCCTAGGAAACGAGTGACACGGAGCCCAGTGATGAAGGAATGGAAGTGTCCCCCCACCCCGTAGGCTTCAGGGGGAAGGGGCGCCTGGGGCTTCAGGGGGAAGGGGCGCCTGGGTGGCAGTCACAGATCGTCCCTTCCACTGCAGAGCCACAGCAGGGGAGATGACTGGCCTTTCCTTTCACTCCCAACCTCCTGTTGCTGTTGAGTTGCCAGGTAGAAAGCAGGGGACAAGGCAAGTAGGGTGGCCAGTCCCCAGGGCACAGAATGAACCTGGAGAGAATTGGCATAGCCCTTTCTTTCCACTCAACAGAGGGACTGTGTATGTGCCCAGGAATGCCCTGATGTTTCGGGGCTGTGGTGGGTTTGGCTACTTACTTGTTTTCCTTTGGCCTGCAGGAGATTCCTACAGACCCAATGCGGAGCTCTCCCTGGAGCAGGAACAGCGGCTCAGGAACAACCTGATCTAAAGCCATTACTGCACATTCCCAGCTCTGCTCACACACCAGATACCTCAGCTTACTGGAGCCACGCCCTTCACAGAGCCCCGACTCACAGGACCAGGGGCCAGTGACAAGGAGCACCAAGAACCTGCTCAGGAAGCCTTTTGACAGCCAGATCCCCACCCGGATGGCAGCAGTCTCAGGATGGCTCTGGGCCTCTCCCAAGTGCCTATGGCCTATACAGCATGGCCTTGAAGCTCTGGCCCACTAAGCCTTCTCTTCCTTAAGGAGACCCAATCTGTCTTAAAGCTTGATGTACAGTTCCCAGGTTCAGCAGCTCTAAGTTCCTTAGGGACAAACTGTGGCCAAGACCTCCATCTAAGTGGTGCTTTGCAAATGTCTTGGAGGAGCAAAGGACAGAGGACCAAAGAACAAAGAAGTGGAGTCAGTTGTTATGAGCTCTGTGCAGAAACAAGCGTGTCAGAGCCACACCTGTTGGTGCAGTCCCTCATCTTATCCCACTTAGAACTCACGCCCCATCCTTCGTTTGTAATACCCAGACTCTCAGGCCCCCTTCCATTTCCTGATGGGTCAACATATCCCCAATTCCTGGGGCTGGGGCGGCAAGACAGGGCCTTTCCCACAGAGCAACGAGTTATTAAGAAGACAGCTGAGGTCACATAAACTCAGTCTGTCAGGACCTCTGACAAAGGAGACAATAGTACACCCCACATCTGACAGGCAGGCCAGTCTCTGTTATGAGCACCCACATGTCAGGGTTAGCCTGTTTCAGACTTCACCTTAAACAAACCTTTGCAATTGGCAAGAAACTGGCCAATCAAGCCACTCTGCAGGAACACCAAGATAGGTCTGGTAGAGTTAGGAAAGAAGACTGGGGAAACCGGAAGTGAGTCAAGGACAAGCCTGGGAAAGGCCACCGTGCACGTGTGAGGTGTCTGCGCTGCATTCTTGCTCAGGAGGTGTGAGACCCCGGGTCTTCTTGGGCATGTCTGGTCTTTTCTCCACTGACATGCACACAGATGAGCCTTCTAGGTCTTTATAGCCAATAAAGTTTGCTCATTGTGGACTGCTACAAAGACCAGACCAGCTGTGCTCCTGTAGCTTCCAGCGCAATGCACTCTGCTGTCTTCCCTCCAGAGCTGGACGAGAATGCACAGAACACATTGCTTGGGATCGCCCACCACAGTCTGTTTCTTAGTCAGATACCAACCTGCTTAACAATACCCTCCCCAGGCTCAACACTGAAACTAGGGTCAGAAAGACAGAGGTGATAGGGAGGAGTAGGAAGGCATGACAGAGACGGTAAACTTTTACAATAGAGGCTACAAAACCAAATGAATGGTAGCAGAGAGAGCTGCTTTACGGTACTCTCCTCCCCACAATATACAAGCTACCCCAATAGTGAAAAGGGACATGTTTTGGGGGTATCTTCTGTGAACACAAAGTGCCTTTTTCCATTCCCTCCCTTCCCTCATCTCCTTCATTTGGCAGAGGAAGCCTATTTTGGTGTAGTAGTTTAGATAAACAAGGGAAGGACTGATTTCCTGTTGGATCCAGCAAACAGTGACAACATTATACTCACACATGAAGCTAATGGTCTGTGAAAGAGTGTGCAGCTAGCTAGGGGGTTGGGGTGGGAGTGGTGGTGATGACTAGACCTGGGCAGGGCGCTTACCCTCAGCTTCTTGTTAGATCTAGTTTCCAAGAGGCCAGAAAAAGCAGGCCAGGTGGACAGTAACCAGCAGCACCGGTCTCGGCCTCCCTGCCCACATCACATGGCTGGTAGGAGCAGCCAGTTCTAATTCCTGGAAAAAGCTATACAAGGGCTGTGCTGTTAAGCTTCTAAGTTGAAAGAGAAAGACACGGGAAGGCTGGTGGCCGGCATGACTTAGAACTAGATGAGGAATGTTAACAGAATACCAACCGCCAAATTCCAGACAGAGCCCAAACCTCAGAAGACGTTCACCTTGGCCCTGTGTGGCCTCAGGAAAACCAAAGCGAACTAACCTCCTAATGATACAAGGGCCTTCATGCTATGAAGAAAAAGCTAAAATCCATAGGCCCTGCAACTTTCTACTATAAATTGTACCTAACCCTGAGATTTAGATGTTCACCACACACAAAACATCTATGTACAGCACAGAAGATCAGGTGCCACCCCTAATAGCTAACATTTCTTCTGGAGCAGCCACACTCTTCAAGCAGCTCGCCTAATTTTAGAGGGGTCTGGTCCATGAGACAGAGGCAGCCATACACTGTTCACTCGTCTGATCATAAAAGGTCAGCTTACACATAAGCAAGGCTTTGATCCTCCATGGATGAACTCAGGGCAGTCTGTACCAGGCCATGGCTGGGATTTCTTACCACTGTCCAGTACACAGCAACCCCAACTACTGGACTAATGTAAGCAAAAAGCACATTTTCAATTAGAAGTAAAACATCAATGCCTGTAACTTTCAAATGTCAATTTAAAGAAATTTATTCTCTGAGATTATAAAAATTACCCTGAGAGTTAAAAGTAGCTATCATTAGATGGAAGATAGGTTGTTAGAACACTTAACGAGAAAAAAATTGTTTTGGAAACAACAATGGACTTACTTAAAAACTGGGTAACAAACATGGGGCTATGCATTATCATTAACAATGCCTTTAAAGTACACTGACCAGTTAACAAGAAGCATGTTCACAGACAGGTGACAAGAGAAGTCATTTGTTTATTTGTCCAAATAGCCTAGGAGTAGAGTTCAGAGGTAGAGTGCGGTCCAGCACGTGTGGCTGTAAGTCTGCTATCTAACAAGGGGTAGGGTGCCAAAACACGGCAAGTCTGTGCCTTAGAAACACATCAGCAATGCTGGGGCGGGAGTAATGGCTCAGCAGTTAAGAGCCTGGTTCTTCCAGAGGACCCAGGGACGATGACTGGCGTCCACATGGTGGTTCACAACCACCTGTAATTCCACTTCAGAAGACCTGACACACTTTTCCAGCCTCCACAGTTACCGGGCATTCACAGACATGCGGGCAAAACACTGATACAAATAAAATGATTATTATTAGTGATAGCCTATAGTTATTAATAGCTAATAATAATAATAAAAATAATAAAAGCCAATGCAATCCTTGGCATTTTCTTTCAATGTGCCCACTGTTCAAACAGGCCTACCAATGTTAGAGAAGTCTGTTCTAGGAAGACAGAGCATGAACCCTACAGGTACAAGCCAAAGACTTAAGTAGAAACAGAGGATCAAGAAAACAATGTATTTTCCCACATATGGAATGGTGGCACTCACTGGATAGGGCCACTGGGAAGCCTGGAATGAGAGACAGGGCTTCAAGACTGGAGTAGCAATAGAGACAGGCCAAGACTCAGACCCAAGGCCAGTATCATGTAAGGAATATTTGAAGAGCCCCATTCTACCATGTTCTAGACAAAGCTGATAATCCATCATTGTCATGGGCATAAAGAGAGGCTTCTGCCATAGATGACAGCACAGTGTGACTCCACTTCCTGCCTCCTCAGCACTTAAAGACTAGCAGTACCATATCTTCAGCACAGAACTACTTCCCAAAACTACGAAGGCGGCAGCTGTGAGACAGAAAAGGCCGTATTGGTGGCTCTGACGGGACCATGTCCTTTTGGGAACTGCTCACTGCCTAGTGGTGTTTACTTCATCCTGGCAGCTCATCGCTGTACTGTATGGTCTGGTGCTACTTGCCAAGTGCCTGTGGCACAGGTTAAGACTGTACCAAGAACAGGCTGGGTGCCAGACGCCCCTGCAGGGTGTCAGAGCTGACAGCTATGGAAAAAGAGGTCAGAGGAAAGCTGCAGAAGGAGGTCAAGGCGAGAGAGGCTGCCACACGAAATGCCAACACTTAGGGGTACACTTAGGGACAGAAAAGACGGGGAGTGCCCTATTCACTGGGGTTGATGAAGCAGCACCTGTTTAAACCGTGCGCGGCATCAGAGCTATGAAGATTAGAGAGCTCACGTACGGGGCTTTCTTTTGTCGTTGCTGGGTTTGGGGGGGGGGCGACTTACAAACACCAGAATGATTTATATTATAAAACAGCCTTTAATCTCTCTTTCTCACAACATATCATTGCTGAAATTGGAGCTGGCACTAAGCTCCCTGGGGCTGGCTGGTTGAGAGGGAGGGGAGACCCCGGCTGCTGTGCAGCTGGCGCAGTACCAGGCACCAAGCTTAGCACAAACTCAGGAGTCCAAATACCCACATGTGCCACGCTTCCCTGGCTGTAGAGTTGTGGAGCCAGCAGTGTAGACGCTATCTGCCAAGTACACCAGGCACTCTGTGACCTGCTTCCCACCACCCCCTTGCGGCTCTCAGTGAAGCACTGAGGAGTACCCTGCCACACGGGCCCCCACTCCTGTCACTGCAGGGTGAGTCCTCCGTTCTGCTCCGCACTTGCTTTAGACTCCCCCTGGGAGTGTGACCCACACTAATGTGACCTCTTCTACCCAGAGGACTCTCAGAAGCCACTTCTTCCTTTTCTTCTCACTTGATGGTTACTTTTAACATCTTCCACTGGAGGGCAGTTCCAATGCAGGGGTGAGGACCGGACTCCTTGTTCTCACTTGAACCCTCCTGTCCTTTGTCTTGTTCACGTTTTCTTTAACATGCTCATCTGCATGTACACAGCTCTGGAAGGATCCTCTTGTCTCAAGAACATGAAAACACTTCCTGATTCATGGATTCACCCTTTCAGTAAGTGATAGTCAAACTGCAGATTGGCCTCTGCCTTCCCAGATGTCTTCCCGCTGCTTGGCTTCCAACCGTTTTCTCTCTGTAAATAAAGGCCAATGTTAATCATTCGATTATATATTTCACACAGTTAGTGAGTCTCCTTTAATCAAATTACAAGACAAATTTTATTCATGAGACAGGTAGATTCCTGATGAGTGCACCTGAGTCCAGAGGTTAATAACTTTAACTTTCCAAATGATTTATAGAATTGATACCACTCTAAGACATCTTTATTCCTTTGTTTTTCCTCTCTCTACTCCTTCCCCATTTCTTTCTTTTGTTTCTTCTTTATGTTGTACTGAAGATAAAACTCGGGGCTCCACACATGTTAAATACACACTGTAGCACTAAGAAACTCGGGGCTCCACACATGTTAAATACACACTGTAGCACTAAGCTTCAGCCCCAGGTTAACTGCTCTGCTTAGTTCTTGCGACTCTGACACAAGCTTAGGTCATCTGGGAAGAGGGACCATCAATGAAAAAATGACTCATCACACTGCCTTGTAAGCAACTCTATGGGGCATTTTGAGATCAGCGACTGATATAGGAGGGCTCAGACCACTGTGGGTAGTGCCATCCTTGAGCAAGCCATGAAGAGCAAATCAGTTAACAGCATTCTTCCATGGCATCTGTTTCAGTTCCTACCCAGGTGCCGTGCCCTGAGTTCTTGCCCAGACTTCCTTCAGTGATAATTTATGATCTGGAAGTTACAGGATAAAATAAACTCTTTCTTCCCCACGTTGGTTTTGGTGGGTCTTTATCACAGCAAGGAAGCCAAATTAGGATTATCTACTGTAAACTGCCCCTCCCCCATTTTAAGCATTTTATAGTATGTTCATGTGTGTTCATTTGTGTGCATGCCATAATGACATGTGGAGGTAAGAGGACAACTTGTGGGAGTCATTTCTCTCCTGCAAGGTGGGCCCTGAAGATTAAACTCAGGTCATTAGGCTTAGTGACAAGTGTCTTAACACAATGAGCCAGTAAGCACCTTTACACAATAAGTCATTTTCCCACACTCCCACTGTATGGTTTCTGAACAGTAAGTAAAGATTTGGAAAGATATACATACATACATACAGACAGACAGACAGACAGACAGACAGTCAGAAGTCAGAGCCTAGCAGGATTCAGATGCTAGACTTATTAGCAGGTACTTAGGTCTACTTTTCAGGTAGGAGCATGTGGTGCTTTCAAATAACCGCCCATAATGCCTTTTGTACCGAACACTTTTTAGCATTTCAGCAGGAATTCAGAGTATTTTATTTTGTGTGTATAAGCGTTTATCTGCTTGTGCGTCTATGTACCACCTGTATGCCCAGTGCCTTTGGAAGCCAGAAGAGAATGTTGGATTCCCTGAAACTAGAGTTACAGATGGTTCTGAGCCATAATGTGGTGCTAAGAATTGAACCCAGGTCCTCTGGAAGAGCTGGGTACTGGGATTCAGACCCAGGTCCTCGGAAGAGTGGTCAGTGCTCTGAATCACTGAGACATCAATATGTTTTAATTTCCAAACTTCTCAAATGGCAGCAGCATCCTGTGGGTTTCACTATTTCCCTACTCTAAGTTTAATGAGAAACAATTCAGAGGCAAACTTGTGGCAGTATTTTGCAGATCACTTCAGGAAGGAGAAATGTTCTAGAGCAGTGGTTCTCAACTTCCCTAGTGCTGCAACCCTTTAGTACAGTTCCTCATGTTGTGGTGACCCCCAACCATAACATTATTTCCATTGCCACTTGATAACTGTAACTTTGCTACTGTTATGAATCATAATATAAAAAGTTTCTTATGCATATGATACTGGTTCTAATGTCATGGCTGACAGCCACTGACTCAATACTAGAAAATGCACATAATTTAAGTCTTCCATAAAAGATTCAAGTCATGAACTGGTGGATTAGAGAAATCAAGGTGAATTTAGAATTTACACTTGTTATTTCAACCTATCTTCAAATCATCATAATCACTTATAAAATCTCTAAAATACACTTGACTGTACTTTAAGGGGAAGGAAGTTGTTTGGGAAACTGACTGACACTTGGGAATGTGAGATAGAGAAATTCCTTGCTATTTGGGCACCATCTTGTGGCATCATCTGAATATAGCAGCAAAGTTACATGAGGCAAAAAGTGAGAATCAACAAATTGTAAATTGAAGGCTGATTAATACTAGGACTCGGCTGCAAAGTAGGCAGGCTTGGGCAGCTGAGGGTCTTCATGAGCAACACCAGGGACAATAGACTTAGCCAAAGGATGCCAAGATTTCTTGGAAACCAGTATGGTTTTGAGTCTTAAAGAGACAAGTTAGGTAAGATTTAAATGCAAAGCAGTCTTGGATGAAATTAGTCAAAAACTGGTTGTGAATTCCAAAAAGAAACAAAACACAGGAAAATGAGTTACTAGAATTCAAAACTTTCATTAAGATAAGAAACAAATCAGAAATAGAAAAATATGACCACCTATATATAATTCATGAGCATAAAATAAAAACAGTTGTTAAAACAAAAGTTTTTGTTTTTATTTTAAAGCAGTCAAAATTCATTGCTGGAGGCAAATCTAATCAGATATAAGGCTGTTTGGACCCTATATAGCTTACTTAATGTGACTCATCACACACTTTGCTTAAGACATATCATTGTAAATGTGTTTGTTTCCAGCATTATAATACATATTATAGCTACTGGGTATCTTTCTAAAGTCTGGAAAGCGTCACAATTTTGAAATATGTTTAGTGTTAAATGCTTGCTAACAAAAAACCCCTAACTCTTGGTGTATGTGTGTTTGTGTAAATTCTGGTGGTAAAGCATGAAACATTAGAAAGAGTAGGAAAACAAACGAAGCACAAAAATAATAGTGAAAACATGAAGCATATGAAATATAGAGGGATATGGTCAAATTGGACTTGTAAGCAATTCCCTGCTCCGAGACAGGGAACAGGATGGGAGAGCTTGAGTAGCTTGGGGAAGGTAACGGATCAGGAAGAACTGAGGCTGGAACCCAGGTCCTTAGTAAGCAGCATACTTTATACTATCCTGACATCTGAAAACATCAAAAGAGAACAGCATGTAAAAAGATTAAATGAAAGAAGCATGTTCCTTTATCAAAAGAATATTAGACGATTGCATGAAGAAAAGCCATCATTAACATTGCCTTTATTAAAAATAAAAAATTAAACTGAGTCAACATTCCACAGCAGTTGAGAGAGCAAGGAACTGAGAGAGAATAGAACATTAGAAGTGAACGATTAACCTGAAACATTTACATAGACTGGCCCTGAAGACTCCCATCCCCAGTATGAAAAGTAAATGGGCAGAAATGCCTATTGAGAGCTGATTGAAATTAGGGAGCAGTCTGCTACTGCTTCTCACTGAGGAAGTGTCGAAGACTGAAAAGGCAACACTCTGGGGTCATGTTTTATTTGGCAAGAAAAGGGAAGGAAAGAGAAGGGCTGCAAATTAAAGACTTTCAAAATTTGCTTGGACATTTTAAAAATGATCACAAAACCCACTTGTAGCCACCTACAGAGTAATAATCAGCAAGCTTTGTGAGGAACAAGCCTAGGCAAATCTAATTGCCTTCCTTTATTCCCTGACAGACGCGGTAGATCAAGGAGAAGTAAGCAGTCTACATAACCTCTTAATTTTAGCAAGGCTTCAGATAAAGTTTATCAAGTATTTATACACACATCAGTGCACTAGGAAAATATAATTCAGACTTCATCAGGACCCATTTAACTGGAGAAATTATTTGCAGTGTATTAAGCACAAGGAATGATGTGCTATTTATTTTAGCAAGGCTTGACGTGGTCAGTTAGTCCTACTGTTGACATTTTTGTCTCTGATTTGGAAGCAACAACAACAACAAAAAAGGTAAATATTACACCTCTGCAAAAAAATTTCACACAATTATAATATGGTTAGAAATGAAGAGAACTTCAGATAATGGGGCAGAAAAAAAACCCATGAAAGTACCCTGAAAAATCTGATTATGATCAGTAATGCAGCACTGTGGAATAATGGGATGCATAAGAAGGTTTCCGAGTTAGGTACCATGGGTAAGAGCAAGCACTTTCAAGTTCCTAGTGGCTTAAAAGTAACCAAACTGCATGATCAAATGGTTTACATCCTCTGCTTTAGCCCTATGAACCAAATGTTGGCCTTTTAGAACCAGCCAGCTAATCATTTACTCCTAAGAATAAAATGAAATTAAATTATGAAATATAATTACAGCAGATTTTGAAGATGAGAGAGCAGCTTATTCTGAGAAGCAATGATATACATTTCTAATTTTAGCCAGCAATCAAATATTTGAAATAGTGAACATGGAATTTTTTTTTTTACAGATATTCCTGTGTTCAGCCCTTTACTTATGTGGTTCCATGACTCAGCATGAATCACTGGCTGAAAACACCTGACTAAGTCAAGTCCAAAGCACTCACAGACATGTCTGCTTCCATTTCCCACCCCGAGTCCAGCTCTGATCTGTTGTGTACCAAAAGAGGCAGCTCCTGCTCAGGAACAAAGTACTAAAGGGCTTCCCCTTGACACACAGTGCATTTGCTTTAACTGATCTGGCACTTCCCTCTCCTCAACTCTTTCAGAACTAGCTTTTGTCTGTGAATCTCCCTTTAAAGGACTGAGTATAAGCTGTCCCACTCAAACGTTAGTAGAATCCAAGTAGGACAGCAAAACACAATCAGGAAAATGCGAAAGATTAGGTGTGTTCAACACTTTTGTGGGTGGTGGTAGTGGAGAAAGCTCAGCCAGAGTAAAATATCATAACATTTATGAAGAAAAACTAAACTAACCAACAGCATTTATATAGAGAGACAATGAGCATACACCTTATAGCTTTTTTGTCCTCAATAACATGATGGTCAACAGAATTCTTCACACAACACGAAGAAGGGTCAGATTATCATACAGTATTAATGAAAGGATCTATGGCAGAAGAGCATATAGATTTTTGGTCCACGCTAATTCTGATCAACTGGCAATGGACACTTCAGTACTTGCCAAGGGAGAATGCCATGACTGATCAGCAACATCTGTTATGTGTAATGGGAGAACAGCAGTGCATCACACACACACACACACACACACACACACACACACACACACACACACACACACACCTGACTCGTGTCATATTATAACACAGAAAACAGAACAGTATCTTGAATTTGCAAAGCACTTTCTCAACATTTTTACACATTATGTGTGCTCAAAAATTTCTCCATGGTTTGGCAGGGCAAGTATCACTTCCACTTAGTTGGAAAGTAGACAAAGAGTGATAACTGACATGCCTAAAGCTGCACAGCTAGTTAAATGACAACAGCTCTATTACAGCCCAGATTTCTTTATTTCCTTAGTGGTCTGCCCTTGTCTGTATAGCAAAGGGGTGCTAGTAGAGAATGACAGCCAGATGTTCTAGATTCCTACTAAGAAAATAGGAAGGAGAACAAGGTTAAACTACCACACACATTTAAATCATACTAAAGAAAATTTTCTGTTAAAGCTGCTAGCAAACCTTTGGTATCTATAACTATTATAGTACATTCTCTGGGGACTTAAAATTTTTGTTTACAAAGGTAACATTATTTTCTTGAGAGAGAAAATAGTAGTTGTCCCTAAAACCCTTCAAAAGGGTAGAAAAAAAGTATGTTTTGTTCATTATATTGTCTTTGAAGATTTCCCTTAGCTGTAGATTAAAGTTATTTTCACATTGCGTTAAAAAAAAGTATAAGTTTTAATTAAAGAAGCCTACATTCATATCCCTCCTCTCATTTTCCTAGGTGGGTAACCTAGGACTGATTTAACTTCTTGGGGCCAGCTCTAAACTGGAGACAGTATCTTGCATCATAGTTATCAAGACAATGCCATCAAAATGACTACTATGAATCTCCTTCCAGTCCCTTCCACCAACAAAACCTTCTTATCCATCTCTCTCCTCTCTCTCTCTCTCTCTCTCTCTCTCTCTCTCTCTCTCTCTCTCTCTCTCTCTCTCTCTCTCTCTCTCTCTCTCTCTCTCTCTCTCTCTCTCTCTCTCTCTCTCTCTCTCTCTCTCTCTCTCTCTCTCTCTCTCTCTCTCTCTCTCTCTCTCTCTCTCTCTCTCTCTCTCTCTCTCTCTCTCTCTCTCTCTCTCTCTCTCTCTCTCTCTCTCTCTCTCTCTCTCTCTCTCTCTCTCTCTCTCTCTCTCTCTCTCTCTCTCTCTCTCTCTCTCTCTCTCTCTCTCTCTCTCTCTCTCTCTCTCTCTCTCTCTCTCTCTCTCTCTCTCTCTCTCTCTCTCTCTCTCTCTCTCTCTCTCTCCCGCCCCCCCCTTTTGGTTTTTCGAGACAGGGTTTCTCTGTGTAGCTTTGGAGCCTATCCTAGCACTTGCTCTGTAGACCAGGCTGGCCTTGAACTCACAGAGATCTGCCTCTGCCTCCGGAGCACTGGGATTAAAGGTGTGTGCCACCAACGCTGGACTCTTATCCATTTCTTATGCTAAAAATTTTCTGAAATAAAATGAGAGGAGAGGCTGGGGTACAGCTAGCTCAATGACAGAGTGCTTGGTTTACACTGACCCTAGGTCCAATCCCAACACTACATGGAGAGAAAGAGGAGAGAGAGCACTGTGGGAGAGCGAAGGTATGGAAGGAAAAATGTTTGCTTAAAATATCTAAAATTAATCCCTGTTTTGTGCTTTACTTAATGCAGACAGTCCCCCACTGGGCTCTAAGTCTCAAGGAGAGGAACAAAACACATTTAAGTGAGACTTCTGGACTCCACACAACTCCTTGAGAATGCTTAATACAAACGATGCCAGAAAGAGAAATTCCCACCTTCATCTTCTCAGACTCTAAGAACAGAAGAACCTGGATGTAGAATGATGCAAGGGTCTGCTGTGATCCACACATTAATAGATAGGACCCACCTCTGTGATCCACACATTAATAGATAGGACCCACCTCTGGTCTCCAATTACAACCCAGAGCCTTCTGGACTTCCAGTGACCAGAGAAGCGAGGCAAGATGATGACAAGTTTAAGTTCAGAACAGGCAACAGTGACAACACCATTTCAGAAAAATAAATAACAAGGGAATGTTCTTCATTTAAAAAAGCAACATAGAAGAGGTAGCATGGCAGCTCATGTCAATAATCCCAGCACTCCAGAATCAAGGTAGGACTGATGTAAATCAAAAGCAGCCTAGGCTACACCGTAAGTTCTAAGCCAGCGAGGACTACAGAGTAAAATTGTGTTTCAAAAACAGATAAATGCAATAGGGTGCTCACTTGGCCAACAGTCTCATTTTAAACTGCACCACATAAATGTCCCTTAGACAGCAAAGCACTTAAACACTGCAAGAGAGACACATGAGGATGCACGTGCCGACAACTAGAGGACACACAGGTATTATCCAAGCAAAGCAGCAGCTGCAGGACTGGAGAGACACAGGCGATATTATATTTACAGTAAAGGTACGGCATGCGCAAAGCGTCATATCCTCATTAGACAATACTCTACTCATCCTTTTATGGCTTGTTTTGGTTCAGTTCTGAACCCCAGGGCATGGTAAGCTGATGCTTTACAACTGGGCTGCATCCCCAAGCCCTTTTATTCACCCTCTGAGATAACTGTAGTCACCACCCAAGTCATTTTCTTCAGAGATAACCAATTAACAATGGATTAAGGATTCTGCACATTCTACTCTAACCCAGTTCTGCTATTTACCATCTGTAAAAACAAAAGCAATCCTTTCGTTTTTCTAAGAAACCTTTTAATGAACAATATATTAGAAAACAAAACAAAAACAAAATTGCCTCATTATAATCATTAAGGTAAATTAGTTGGGTTCAGTTCTAAAACTCTAACACCTGTCATGATGCTCTCACTCACTGGTTATCTGGCCAGTGCAGCCGAGAGCCCGAAAGCTGCCCGCTATCACCAAAGCATAGTGGACAGGAAGTATTAATGGCCTTGTTAGGCTGGCAATAAACAAGGAGTTTGAAACTTCAATTGGTTTCACGGAAATGAAGTCACTTTTTGGTAAGTGGAGTTTTCAGAATTGCCTTCAGTGATTCTATAGATACTGAATAAAGGCAAGGAGCCTGTCTAAAGCTTGAAGGTTAATTAAAAAAATACTTCTGGGTCAAGACCAGGTTCAAGTCTTTACAAAGAACTCAACAGCCTATAAAGAGAGGATATATTTTAAGCTTGACTCCAAACTCTAACGGAACTCGGCTTGTAGATCTGTGCAAATATTTTCTGAACTCTTAGGTGTTAGAAAGAAATTAGAAGACAGGTGAATCTACTCTAGACTGTCTTAAGAAAACAAAAATCTCTCTTTGGGTCTTTATCACCAGTATCAGTTGCTGGCTCTTCCTTAACTTGCCTTCTACCAAAGACCTAAGCCATCTGATTATACCACAACACTGTCATGGCCCAGTAAAAGCACAACAAACAAGATCTGGGAGACTGTGAAATTTTCTCTCAATTTGGAGCAAGCTGTAGAAGTCAGGAATAAGCTGAGAAGGCGGGGCCTATCTTTTAGTAACAGTAAATTAATTAGATGCCTTGGTGTATGAACAGGAGACAAATCCTGAACGCAAGGATTGAAAACAACTTCTATACACTTGAGAGGCTTCTTGAAAATGGAAATGACAAGATGGAATGGACTTCATTCTTTTCCTTTTTCTTTTTCAGCATTTGCCTCCCAGTGAGCCCCTCGTGGACCAGAGAACTCACCTCGGGCTTCTTGCAGTTTCTTGAGCTCTGCTTCCCGCTCAGTTCTGTTCTGTTTGCTTCGAACCCCAAGGGCACTGATGACTAACCTTCTGGCTAAGGCTGCTGATGTCTCAGGTCGCTCCTTTGCAGGCTGGAGAAACTCTGGGAGAAAAGGAGTAAGAGGCAGTAAGGAAGAGAAACCACTACAGCTCCAAGTGATTTAACTGAGTAATTAACATACAAAACAGACTAACAAGGGCGGTATCAGCAGTAATTAATACAACCCTGATAGACGACGATGCGAGGAAATTAGTATGGCAAAGCACAAACAGCGCTGGCTGCATTATCTGCATTAGCACAATTTCTTACAGCAACTCCATCAAGCAACTAAACATCACCGGAACCTGGTTACTATACTGCTCGCCCTCAGTCTCTCCCGCATGTCAAGAGGCTGCTCAAAGGGCATATTATTTCCAACATGATCTTTTTCTTTTTGTCCTTAAAAACATATCAGCAGAAGTAGTAACATAAAAAAGACGGTGTCTATTGAGCTCCGGGTGGTGTGAAACCGCTGGAATGAACAGTGACTTCACCATCAATAAGGAACAAAGGCAGAGGTTGTGGGCTCACCAGCACAAGCTCTAGCTTTGGCCTTGGCTGCTCTTGTGGCCTGTGACAAGGGCCGAATCTTCACCATGGTATGTTTAATACCCAGAGCATCACGAGCTGCAAGGAAGAAGAGACATAAGGAAGTAAAGTGACAAACAAGAAAATTTAGGGTTATTTCTCATAAAGCATTTATTCTTAGAAGTTATGTTTGTGGTTTTCATGGCAAGGAAAAAAGATCGTACAATACAGAACATCTGTATACAATAAGTTGGGCGATGATCACTTTAGAACAGAGATTAGACTAAACCCAGGCAATGGACTTCCTGCTTTTGTAAATAAAACTATATGAAACAGAGCTATGTCCATTTGCACACTGTAGCTGCTCTCCTGATGATAACCAGGTTAGGTAAGGACAGAAGCTTTTTTTGCCTTTCTTGCTACAAGGCAGGATTAGGTAACAACAGAAGATTTTGGCTCTACAAAGCCAAAAATATTTTATCTATCTGGCCCACGAAATCCAAGGTGTAGAGACGGTTCAGACAGGAACTAGAAAGCCAGCACCTCTGACTGCCGTGGATTCCTCTGCGTTAGGCCAATCATGAGCAAAGCCCAACCAGCTATTCAGAGAGTAGCTACTACAGTGATCTCTCTGGATACACTATTCAAATTCATTTTCTGAAGGAGAAAATACTGTAAAACTCAGTCTCACTGTGATCTTTACCATGCCTGACATTTATGTGTGCAAATAGCCTGGAAAGTGCCTACCTTTCCAAATACCAAATGTTGGATATTAAAGAGAAGCAGGGGAGAACATGTGGGTACCAAGCCACATGTCTCAAAAAAACAGTATTTATTCCACTACAGATACTGGCTGAGTAAAGTTCTAATTGGCTGGAATAGTAGGGAATAAGAACAAGAAGCAAGAGAAAATAAACAGGAAGAGGGACCTGGAATCCCCATAGGCACCAGACAAATACCTGTGATTGGACTGGAGAATACACCTAGGGCATGCGTGTCATCTACCCATTTAATATCAAATCCTTTCTTTCTGCAACAAAAGAAAACAATGTTTACATCTTAAAATGTGTTTTATGAAATGCCTTTAAAATGGTCTTACAAAGCATTTCATAAGATAGAGGAATGGGGACAGTGACATAAAACAGCTTGGTACATAGAAGCCACTACACTTTAAAAGCAATAATACTATCATAAAGAATTACCTGGGAGCATTTTATAGACGCTAACTAATTAATCCTCACAAATCTGCTGGAGATGTTAAGTATTTAGTGCATTATTTTCAAGAGATGTCCTTATGAGGAGAAATAAGAAGGGACAAAAAAGGAGGCCAGAGGAGGTATAGAAGTCAGGGAGGGCCACCTGGATTTGACGCCAGTGTAAACGGTGTTGCGGTAGGGTTACACTGTTAGAAGATACAATTCAAGTTGTAAAAATACGTCAAATAATGAAAAATACAGCCATACTCATAAATGCTTACCACTCTTTCTTGAGGTAGAAGAAAAATAAGGTGTGTGTGTGTGTAGGGGTGAGGGATAGGAATAACCATAGCTAGCCAAAAAATTCAAAACAGAATGAAACAATGAACAATTAATACTAGGAAAACATACCTTTTTAGTTTAGAACAGAGCTACACACTGAACACAAAGAATATCAGGATTACTAAACACCTATATATATTTAAATGCACGAATTTAACTATATGTATATTTAAATATATTTAAATTCCCTTAATACAGGAATACATTGTATTTTGATCAAATCCACTCTCACCCCCAAAATTCCTAAGTATCTAGAAGGTGTGTGGACACTATATCAATTTAGCAAAATGACAGTAGTAGGTTCTTTCCTAGCTATGGTCTACGACTTCTCCAGCCATGGTTTCTTAAGTCATATTTACAGTACTAGGCATGAATTCCTCTTGTTAGGCAGGCCTTAAATCTAATCTGACAACCAGTGGTTACCACCACTCCCTAATACATGTACACTACTATTTCACCAATGGGCATATCTGACTGCAGGAAGCATTACTGTAGTTCACAGGGTTCACAACTGGGCAAGACTTGGTATGTTTTCTCTCCTAGGAGCCTGCCTAGCACCCTGAGGCACTGTGAAAGCTAGCCATTGGAGAGGAAAATAGAGATGAGATTGTCTATGACAGGCCAAGAACATGATAATGAGCACTCAAAATGCAACTTTTAAAGCAACGGTGCTCTCTGATTTTATTATTAATAGCAATAATCACTAGGGAGATTAATATTGATGAAGATGGTGATGAAGCAAAGTTGACTCTGGTATCTGACTCAGGTATTATTTTACATTTCTGCAGCATGACCTTTAAAAAATTATAAATTGCTATAAAAGAAAAATGATAAAATAGCTTTGCCTTCTTAATTTCCTTGAAAGAAAAAGTAACAAAAGAACCTTGAAAGCTTAGTTAGAAAAGGTAAGCTGAACCATGCTATCTATCAAATGACCACAGGAGTGAAGACCAAGTTCAACAGTCTCTGCTGCAGAGTTTAGAAAAGACGGGAAAGACAGCTAAAAGCCTCATCTTAGCCCTGAGACTTCACAGTCCTTTTAAATCCTTTTGAGAATGGCTTTAGATTTCATAGAAAATGCTCTCACAGATACCGTGAGGAAGAGACAAAGCAAAGAGAAGCAAATGACTCAAAAGAATTAGCTGTCCTTGAACCCGGTGTGGTGGTGAATGAATAACACCCAGGCCTGTGGAGGTGAAGATGGGAAGATTCTTGAGTTCAAGGCTAGCCTAGGCTGCATAAAAGGAATTGTCTCAAAAACAAAAATAGCAGCAAAATCCAATAATCCCTGAGAAAGTTCTGGACATGGACAAAAATCACCCCTATTTTATTAACTGCAGTTATCAATGATAATCTAAGGTAGCTCAAATTTGAGATTTAGTCTTACTGACTGCTCTTAAGGATCTATTAGGAATGGAACAGCACCTGACACTGGGTCTTAACAAAACTGAATTAATGACTTACCTATACTTCATATTTACAGTAAGGTTTATGGTATAGATTAGATGTCTTCCAGAGTACATTCACTCCTGCTTTCTTTCAGTTGTCTCCCCCAATGGAGTTTAACTAATAAAATCAGTATATAACTGCCAGATAATCTCATCTATTCTAGCACTTAAAATTCTTCCTTGCCAGTAAAACATGGTCCAGATGTGGTGGTCAACCCAGGCACTTCTGAAACTTGAAGATCAGTTCAAGGCCAGCCTGGGCTACCTAGATGCTACCTTAAAACAAAAACAAAGCCAGTCATTTTTATAAATAAAGTTTTACTTTCTCAACCACACTCATTTGTTTACATCCTGTCTCTGGCTATCCTAGTGAGACAGCTCAGAGCTGTCACCTGAAAGAAATAGTCACCCTCTGATCCTTTACAAAAGAATTAGGAACTATGCTCTGAAACAGAATCTTACAAATTCAATGTAAAGTTGGGATTTGGCAGAGCATGCCTATAATCTTAGCATCTGGAATATAAATAAACTGAGTTTTAAGTTTAAATTTGTAGCATCAGATAGACTTGATTCAATTTTAATGGCAGGACTGAAATATTGAAGTATACTCCTTGATACTGACTGACTTTCTTCTAGACACTGGATATCCTTTTTCTTAATACCTTTCTGGATTATCTTTCTGTTTCTGAGTCTATTTTTTATTGTAGGTTAGAAATAATATGTATATTTCTGATTCATTTACCTTCTTCTAAAATGTACCACCTACATACATACTGAGTTAGCATAAATGTCCTGAAGACCACTTGTAACATACTTTAATTCCTCACTACATTTAATAACACAAAACTGCATGAATTATGAGTATAAAGAAGAACTGCTGTGTCTATAACCCTAGCTGAGCTAAGAACGGCAGCTTATGGTTAAATCCCAGGGAAGAGAATGAGGCCAGCTGGGATAAAATGGAAACACTGTCAAAACAAAACGAACAAACAAACACACACACACCAGGAAAACAAGTTAGTTGAATGATTTGGAAGTCTTAAGAAAAGTCACTTTAAAAACAAACAACACTAAAAAACAGCCCATGGAACTATTCACTCAGAAAACTCTGAAGCTATGCTAAATTTTCTTGTCTCTCTTCACAGATTTGAATGTATACATTAGGAACTGTGTAATCAACACACCAGTAAATAAAAAGGGAGGCGCAACTAGACAGCACATTAAGTAAACAGACACTCATGTAAAAATAAAACATCTGTGACATGTAACAATTAAAAAAAATCACCCTCCATTTGACTTTTTCTGAGAGTGAGTCAGAAAAACCTCAAATCAACAATTTAATCTGAGGACTCTTAAATGATCAGCATTTTTGGTATAAGAAGTCCCCTCTTTTTTCACTAGCCTTACTGCTCATAAATACAATCCCAAGAAAAACATCAACTAAAAACATTAACTCACATTAAAAATGTAACTAAATCCCCACAAAGGGAAGACAGTGTGAGCAAGTATGAACATGAACAAAAGTTAACCAGGAGCAAACCGCAACTACAGGGGCTTCAGAGACAGAGGGGCTACAGGAGCCCATGTTTACTCTGCTTAAAGAAATAGGAAAAATATTGAAAACTGAAGATATATGAAGAAAACACCAAAATACACGTTAGCATAGCTTGGAATAGACAAATTAAACTAGAGACCTAAATCTGAAGGGGAAAAGAGATGGAATACACAAAAGAGAGGTAACAAGAAAATTAAATAAGAAAATCGAATGCACACCCAATTTGTGTCTTTTTTTTTTTTTTTTTTTTTTGGTTTTTCGAGACAGGGTTTCTCTGTATTGTTTTGGAGGGTGTCTTGGAACTCGCTCTGAAGACCAGGCTGGCCTCGAACTCACAGAGATCCACCTGCCTCTGCCTCCCAAGTGCTGAGATTAAAGGCATGCGCCACCACCGCCTGGCCCAATTTGTGTCTTGGACAGGGTGAAGACAGACTGGGTCTGAGGCAACACTGAAGAGACGAAGACCTTTCCAGAATCAGTGAAAATATTAACCACTGATTTAATAAGCCTACATAATTTCAATCTGGGTAAATTTGAAACAAAAACCCTTATAAAATCCACATCACAGTGAAAATAATCAATACAAAAGTCAAAGAAAATTTTAAGAGCATCCAGAGAGGAAAGATTACATTCAGAAGTGGCATGGGGACTGTCCGGTAACCTATCACTCAAAGAGAAAGCTTCTGAGAGAAAAATGACTGCCAATCTACAATTATCAATATACACACAACATAAACCTTTTTAAGAATAAAGAACTGGGGGACTGGGGTGTAGTTCAGTGGCAGAGAATTATCTAGCCTACATAAAACCCAGGACTGATCCTAAAAAAAAATAAAATTGTAAAAAGAGTGAAAGTTATATAACACCATTAAAGTAACAACACCAGAGTTTGTTACTGGAAAACCATTATAAAGTTAAATAACAAAAGCTAAAGAAAATGAATCAAATAGCCACGACAGCATATAAGTTGGGCTGCAAGGTAGGAGACGTAATTAAGAAGACCTTGCAGTATTTAGAAAGAGGCAAAGGGGAAAAAATTAGTTTTAGCCACCAATAGTTTAGCACACATTTTTATGATTTCTAGAGTAACCACCAAAGAACAGAAACATTACATTAAAAAAAATGAAATGTTAAAAAAGTTAGCCTATAAGTCTAGAAAAGTGGGGGAAACGACAGGAGAAGTACACTCAGGAGATATGACAGGCAAATATAAAAACAAATACTTGGATATAAGTTCAAAAACATCAATAATTAACAACAAATATAAATGGATTAAGTGTATCTACAAGACATCATCAACAGTGGTTTTTATAAATGTCTATACAGGCTACCTGGCCCTTTCAAGGAACTGTAAACTAGTCTGATATACATCTGAACAACACACAAACCCAATACTAAAATAATTGAAGAACTTAAAAAGACATGATATTTCTTTAAGTATTAAGATGCCTTTCTCTCACCTTATCTGTCATTTGGAACCACTTGCAAATACTTACTGGTAACTGCAGAAAATCCGCAAAAGGTCTTCTGTACGAAATTCTTGAGGAAAGTCATAAATTTCAATAACATGTGGGAATTCAGATTCACTGAGGTCAATATCAGGAAGTTCATGGCTGTAATAATCAAATCTAGGCTCCTGAATGCTTTTTCTGTTCTTCATATTCCCTGATAACTAAAGAGAAATGAACACAGTAAAGTGCCGGCTGGTGGCAAATCAAGGCATCATAAAGATATCCTTGTGTGTTAACAATCCAGCTCCCATCTCCACATTCCTAATCCTTACCTTTTGGCATTATTTCTGTATTAGTGGTGTGAATACAATAACGGCAAGGTGTTTACCACCTACTTTATAATCACATATGTGAATGTGGGGCAAGGTATGAAAATCTCAGCAGAAAGCAAGGCATAACCCTTGTTTCTATCAGTCATCACGTGAGAAAATACAGTCTTCTCAGGGGTGAGTGGCTGCAGTCAGTGACACAGCACCTGTCTAGCGTATGCAAGGGAGTGGCTGGAGGAAGGACGGATGGATGGATGAATACAATGAGTTACAAATGGCACACCCTGGAAACCGAGAGACAACAGCTGGGGATGAATTAACATTTGTTTTCACTGGGCTCATTGTTCAGGCCCACCTCATAATTTCTTTTCTGGAAGTGAACAAAAATAAAGTTTTAAGAGTGAAAAACTTTTAGTTCACCTTTTGTTGTACAGTAAAAAGTGAGGAGAAAGCTTACAAAGGAATTTGTTAAGACATATATAAGTAGCATAAGCAGTTACACTCAAGGTCCCTAGTATAAGAGCTACCTAAGGCTACAAAAGAATTAATAGTATTGAAACTGCTATTAAAAAGAAAACTGAAAAACCCTTTAAAGCTATTAACTGCCCACACTGGGAGCAACAGGAAAAGGGAGTCAGCAGCCAAGTCACAAACATCATGGTGTCACCAGGTCTTTGGAGGAAGGAACCTGTGATCAAGGTATACTTCCTTCATTATCATCACCATCATCAGGAAGAAGGAAGGAAGGAAGGAAGGAAGGGAGGGAGGGAGGGAGGGAGGGAAGGAGGGAGGAAGGGAGGAAGGAAGGAAGGAAGGAAGGGGAGAGGGAGGGATTTATAATGCCAAAGATACATGTCCTCTCTTTGGAGAAGTGCAAAATAGATTTAATCAAATTATTGGGGATGGAGGGAAAGGAAAGGTTTAGTCATACTTGTGTCTCTAGTTAAATCTGTCCGCTAAATCCTGTTTTATATCTAAAAACATGGGGATAATTAACAATACCTCCACCTCAGAGACAGACTTGTAAAGTAAATGAGATGTGGTAGGTCTTGGCATATTGCTTGGCACACAAATATTAAAAAGAAAACAAAAATTATCCCACTTTTACTGGGCATGCACCATGGTAGCTCCAATGTGTTTAAACAGAGAGCAAGAAAAGGCTGTTCCTGCAACTGCACCAACCCAGTCATGTATCAGTTTCCTGGGTGTACAAGAAATCTAAGTTTGTCAGATAAACAAGTGGTCCCTGCTAGGTTTCAAACCTGGGACAAACGGCTGAGGTTCCTATTTAACATATCAAAATGGACACTGGCCAGTTTCTACCTGTTAAAAGGTCCCCCTGGCTAGCAGAGCTGGCTCCCTACCCTAAACTTCTCTAGCCCAAGGCCTGGGCCGCCCTTCTCCCAGCTGTCCTTCCCTATATATAAGCCAACCATTTTGGTTACCGGCTCTCTTCGTACCTACTCCTGGCTGCTGTACCTGGTCCCACTCTCTCTCCCCGTCCTCACTTTCCCCAGATGGCTCAGGGTCAGGTCCACTCTGGACTCTCCAAGATGTCCTCTCCCACATATCTACAATAAACCTTCCCCTCCACTATATACCAAGGAGCAGTCATGTCCTTTCCTTTTATTTATTTATCTATTTACTTATTTATTTTGGCACTCAGTCCTCAAGCCACAGGCACAGAGACAGTTCTCCATTCTGCATGCAGACCCCAGCATGCAGCATGAAATGAGCAAGTTTGAGTACTACAACTTTGTTCTTCAAAATCACTTCAGTTATTTGGGGCCCATTGTATTCATTAGGAATTTAAGGATCAGCTTGTTAATTTCTGTAGAAGTAGGCATCATATGTTGTCCAATTTGGAACATCATTTTAATATTGTTTTCCAACAGATGAAAATGGGGTATGTTTTGAATTTATTATATACTTATTTATTTTGTGTGAATATGTACATACATGTGTAGGCTTCTGAAGAAGGATCAGATGACAACCTTGAAATAGCTGGTTCCCTCCTTCCACCACAAAGGCCCCAGGGACAAATTCAGGTCATTTGACCTGCTACAGGCACCTTCATTCAAAGAGTCATCTCAATGGTTCCATTTTGAATTTTAGAGTACCAATTTGACACTTTTTCTTTGTTGTTAAACTTAGTCCTAAATATTTGCCTTTTGGTGCTATTGTAATGTAATTGCTTTCTTCATTTCATTTTATGATTGCTGGCATTGACATTTTTATTTACTTTGCAAAAGCCTAACAAAACAAAGCACTACGCATTCGTACATTTACAAATTAAGGTTAAATAAGGCATTGTGAGAAGTAAAATACAGACTAAAAAATAGCTTTGAAAATAGAAATCCTATGAACTGATTATCAAGAAAAAGGCAGGATAGCTTGCCAACAAAAACTGACTAAAATTCTTTGTTATAACCTGGTAAGTAAAACTGAATTTGTGTACTCACTCTTCAATTATTGAGCACTTTGGCTTCTGAAACTAAAAACAGTGTTAATAGCAGCGAACCTCAGGTAACGGTTAACACTGTCAGCATGCAGAATCTAGAATCAACTAGGCAGCAAGGTTCTAGGCACACCTGAGAGAAATTATCTACATCATGGTGGGGTGGAAAGAAGCACCCAGAACATGGGCAGAACCACTCAATGGGATTGGGCCCTGGGCCAACTAAACAGGAGAAAGTGAGCTAAATGGGAGCATTCGTTCATCACTCCCTCCTCCCAGGCTGCAGGTGCGATGTGACCAGCTGACTTCCTGTTAAAATGGACTGTAACCTGCAACTGTGAGCAAAAATTGCCCTTCTTTAAACTGCTTTTATCAAGAGTATGTCACTGCAGCACAGCGTCAAGATAAGTAACTAATGCATCCTATAATTCTTACTCAACACTTCATGAACATCAGTTAGAAAGTCTATAAATCCCACACCTCTGATGAGTTTTTCCACTAACACAAATTCCACCATCATCAAGTACTACAGACTATCTGTAAAAAAAAAAAATGCCCACTTTCCTCATGCTTTGGGTATTATTTAGAGACATTTACATTTCTATTCATACACTTTTGTGTGTGAGTGGAAATAGGACAAACTGTTAATACTCTCTTTCCTGAGAATCTCAGAAAAGTATTGAAAGGAATTGGAGACATATATGGGATATAAAAGAAGAAATAAATGAGCATAAAAATGGAAGAACCAAAGTGAGAGTATGATGGTAGGACCATTAGAACACAGTATAGAGCTTTCTGGAAAGGCTGTGAGATGTGAGGAAGTGTTGGGGATATTTGATCATACTGTAGAACTCCGTTAGGGTTAGCAAGTTTGCTTTTGCATTAATTAAATAAAATTAATCTTGGGTTAGGAGGCTGCATTAGCCATTAGTTGACAGAAAGTAATCATAGAGCATCAGAGGGCATCCTGGAGAGACGGAGAAACACAAGTAGTAGGGCGGAACTTGGAGTGCTGCAGCCTTTTCTGGTTTGGAGAAGCAGAAGCACTGGCCTTTTGGAGATGCCTACACAGACAGAAGGTTAGCTAATTGCAACCCAGCCTCTCTGAGTCAGCAGGTTTTTACTCCAGCCTTTGAACCTTGAGTCTTATTTATAAACAGAGAAACAGATACTCATGCCTATGAGCTAGGTACCTTTGAGGCAGACCTAGACTGTTTGATAGAGTAGTTGCATGTCACATGAGGCTATAGAGTACTTGAAATATGGCTACTTCACATAAGATGAGCTTTAAGTATAAAGTATGTAGAAAGTTTCAAAGATTTAATATAAAACAGAATGTAAAATATATCTTATGCAAGGTTTCTTACACTGACTACATGTTGAAATGGTGTTCTGGACATATTATATTAACAGACATAAATTATACCTGCTTGTTCTTATTTTTTTTCTAATATAACTAATAGAAAATTCAAACTTATTGCCAGGTATGGTGGCACATCCCTTTCATCACCAAACTCTAGGAGCAGGTGGATCTCTGTGAGTTTGCGGCCAGACTGGTCTTCATAGTGATTCCAGGATCCACCAGGACTATACAATGAGACTGTCTCAGGAAGGTATGGAGAGATGGAAATTCAAAGTTACACACGTGACACATATTTCTATTGTAGACAGGTTCTGGTGCAATATTACCTAAAGTCAATGTGAAATATTTATATTGTAAGACTCACATTTTATGGTTAAGAAATATTTGATCGCCAGGCGTTGGTGGAGCACGCCTTTAATCCCAGCACTTGGGAGGCAGAGGCAGGCGGATCTCTGTGAGTTCGAGACCAGCCTGGACTACCAAGCAAGTTCTAGGACAGCCTCCAAAGCCACAGAGAAACCCTGTCTCGAAAAACCAAAAAAAAAAAAAAAAAATATTTGATCAAAAAAAAAGATGAGAGATTTATAATCTGATTCATTTTAGTGCATGTACAGCAGAACAAAGTTTACAGATGACTCTGGGCAAATGATTTTAAAAATGAGTATAATGTGTGCATGTGATGTGTGTATAGGTGCCACAGTCCACAAGCGGAAGAAATCCAAGGAAAACTCTGTGGAATCTCTTCTCTCCTTTGACCTTTACATGTATTTTGTGGATCAAACTCAGGTTAGGTTGCCATACTTACACGGCAAGTGCTTTTACCTGGTGTGTTACCAAGCACAAACATTTGAATATCTTTTTGTCTTGCTGCTTAGAAAGCATATGTGAAACCAGAATATTCCTTCATTATTCAACTTGCTTCCACAAACTAGTCAACTTCTTAAAGTATGGGTCTGAAGATTTTTACTGTCCTAGTAATCTGGCCAAGTCTACAAAATATAGCGTAACTTACTGTTATATAATCAACCAAAACTATTCACAGAAGATTTTTTAAAAATAAAAGAACTGTGG